CGCGGCTATTGGTAACTACAAAACCTATCTTTGATGTTAACGAACAGGTTGATTCGTTTTCGATTACAAGCCCTCAATTAGGGTATATTTGCGGTATACAGGACAGCATCATGTCGGAATGGCACCTTTTTTTATTAAACTAAGTTGTAAGGAACATAAAGCTATGATTTACGTACATGACGCTTAGTTAGAGGATAATATTGAATCTTTCTCATAATACGGGTGATTATTGTGGAATACTCAAAAATAAGTACAAAAATAAGGTGTATTGTTGTTTGCCGTGACCCTGTAAAGAGAAGTGGGTAGGCTGCACCAAGTAGCTTGGCTCTACCCGTTTTAATCATAAATCTATTGATCCCAACACAACTCACGCATATACGTCAGGACCATTACTTAGAGTCAGAATTTTGCCTATTTCGCCAATAACGCCCGACCCCATGTGACAAGGAGCTCAGTATGTCTACTAATGTATCAGGCTCTTATAAGCGAACCCAGAAGACTTTGAAATAAATTGAATTCGTTGGGCTAGAATGATGATCTTCGAATAGATATTAGAAATAATTTCTTTGACTTCTTACGCACTCGTCCCAGCGCCCTGGCAACATATGGATCGTGATATATTTATTATTCGCGTCCCCATATGTAATATCTATACGACATAGCTCAAGTGAATCTATTGTCGTATCTACTTGTTCACGGTTGTCATTTGTAGAACGTGGGAAACCTTGTTATTTTAAGAACTAGAGTGGGAGCATAGGCCGACTGAGGTCAATGTGTGATACACTTTACTCGATTTAAAAGAAAATAATTAAGACATGGCGATAAAATCTGGCATTGCTATTGCGTCATTAGACTGCGTGCTTTCGATTACCGTGACAACGGTCTGCACGTCTATTGAGAAACTCAAGGTAACGGAGTGAATTATATGCAATTTTCAGTGAATACCTCATGATGCTCCTGATGTCCATCGCAAGAAATACCAGCTCTTTACACTTTCTCAACACTGCCACCCAACTAGAGTTCCCTTTCTTTGATCCTTCTCCAGCTGGCGGTAGAAACCTAACTATGACTTCCCTATAGCGACCGTACGCTCCAGGCAGGTTTTCTGTGTTCTGCGAATTGTGGAAAAGTGGAATAAGCCTTCCTTGTATAGAGTGAAATAATAGGAAGGTTGCAAATGTATGGAAAGTTAAGAAAAAGGCCTTAGCTTATCTTTATTTTATTAGGATTTTTTCTCATTTCAGATTTGAAGTAACGTCAGCGCAGCAATATGATCGTCATATTCGATCATCTACTTTAGAATCTTACTAAACAGCTCCTACAAAAGTGTCGCAGGCTTAAAGGAACAGGTCTCAATGTGACCAGTAAGCGGCTACCCTCATTTTAAAATAGCTGTATCTTACAGAATGGGTGGAAATGTGTGTCTTTCCTAAGAAATAGGACGACACGGATCCGTCGTAACAAGTACACGAACTATTCACGTGGACACCTTTAGTCCTTGTGAATAACCTGACTTCTCAGTTTTGAGTGGAGTACATATCTTCGTGTCCTCGGTAGGCCCTTAAATATCAACGCGTTTTAACGAATTGATGCCTTGTATAGAATCCACAATCGCTGAGCCAAGCATTACAATGACATGTGCACATCCGAGCACTTACTAACATGATAATAACAAATTTATTACTAAAATTCTGCCAGTAGGTAATCCATGGAACCCAACACCGACTAGCAATCGGACAACGAATATAGCTTGTACACGTAACTGAAAAGGACAATCTACTATTGCCAAGACGTATTTAGGTGGCACAATCTGCGTACACGGTTTTGATTAGTTTCCAAGAGCCTGTTACTGAGACTGCCAAGGACAAGGTTATCCTGCTTTGTTTTTTTTCGACTACGTGAAATACAAACGAAGTTCACCATCCTCAAAGGAGAAAGAGAATCAAACCCAAGACTACGGTTACGACAACGATCGTTGAACAATAAACACCCCATTCGTTTCGACTGTGCGGTAGCAATATTCCGTTCGCGTAAAGTAGAATTCCTTCAATACATGGCCTTATTTTGCCAATACATGGCCTTATTTTGCAAGTTAGCAACACAGCAACATTAACGGTAATAGTCTCCGAAAAAGCTTTAGTACGGGGAACTAGAATAAAGAATTTATTAAAATTTTTGTATTTATTAAAATTTTATTAAAATTCGTGCGCGTATGTATTGTTGGAGACGGTATTTACTCGAGTGAATATACTCTGCCCATTTTGCTGACCGTATAAAACTGTAAACAAGCCGCTGTCTAGGGCGCAATGTAAGGTATGCAGTAACATGGGGCGTGTGCATGTAAAGTAATAGCAGGAAGCATTAAAAAAGTTCGTCAAGCACACTAAACTGCGCGGTTTACATAGAACACTACATAATCGTGCACAGATGATGAGTTGTGTCAGAAAATATATATAAATCACAAATTGGGGTATATTACAATACTGATTTTCAAATACTGTCACCTTGTGCCTATGCTCTGCGAAGCGGAGTCGAATACATATCCGAGTTCCATAAGAACAATTAAAGGTGAGCATTTTAACGTATCGATGACATATATCAGGATTGGGTTTCGGTATATCTCTAATCCCAACTAGAGCAAGGCTAGTAAGCAAAAAGTTTTCTGGAACTTTTTGCTTACTAGCCTAGTTCGACCAACTGTCTGTTACCAGTTTAAAAAACTCCAGTAGACTATGCTTCGTCCGGTACTGTGGGACTCTCACCCACTAAACCTTGGACCCCTTTATCAGCTTGGGCCATGGTTCGGGATATGTTTGATATTACTTCGAAACCATGACTTGTCCATTCTAGTCCATCCTCCATTCTGGCTTTCCTCTTGACCAGAAACTCTAGGTCTCGAGGGGGACCGTAGTCCTTGTACTTCTGCTAATTCCAGTTGTTGTGCATCGGGCCCATGATTGTTTCGGGTATGCCCTTCATCTATTCTCTTACATCTCATCCTTTCTAGTTGTTATTTTCTTTTCATAATATCGTCAAAGAAAGCCGTAACTTAGGGCCCAGTGCGTCCTGTCCTCGTTCATCTGCTGACATACGACCACTACAAAGATTGGATATTCTGCATGTATATTCTATATAGTTGCATTAACTAGAAGCAGCGAGGCTCAGCGTCTTCAGCCGGACATTCAAGCGTTTCCACCAGGTTTCTTGACTTGAAATATGCTATTTTTTTCCGGTAGGATTCAGTAGAGGTAGATCAAGGGGGTTGATTAAGAAACGAATGGATCTGCAGTCGCACTCATGCTGGCTTCTAAATTGTGCTACCTAAGTCGACTTAAATATTACTCAGCTAGTGACAATTCCCTTAAAAGCCATACTACAGATACTGGGACACTACAGATTTTGTACTCAATGGCGATACATTATCTTGTGAAAAAACCTTTACGATAACGGATAGTTCCTATCGTTTCCTCGGCCCACAGTCTGCTGCTAAAGCCTAGTTTTGTTTTCTTCCGACTTGTGTATGAAGCTTCACGTAGCTAACGACCTGCAAAATTCTTTCATCGTTCATTTTCACTAAACTAGCTATTTAAGTATTATTAATTTTGACAATACGGGATATGATGCATCGTTTCCCGCTGCACTATATAGGGTGCATCGAATAATGAGTCAAGTCTAGAGATAGCAGGTGACAGTTTCAATAGGGCTGTTTCAATACGAACACAATTTACACATGTTCTCATTGTTAAACAATACTACCTACATTATCCAGACCCTAAGCCTTAATATTGTACGATGTGAAGCAAGCTAATTCTATCTAACCACCACCCATAATTCACCTAGAACATAAGTTTACAGACAGATAAAATATCCGTAAGTGATTCAACATGTTCTCATACTACATGATTTTCGTCTATTTGCTTCCTCTGATGATATTGTGTTTTATAGAAAGAAATGAGCAAACACTGACGCCTACTTATTTCGTGTTTATCAAGTGATAACATTGTAATAATATTTTTTCAACCTAAATTGCGCAACAGCGCACTTCTTTAGTACAAGGCATTACTAACGCATCGTTATGGGGGAGTACTGAATTTCTACCGAAAGATGTTTAATTTATACCGAAAGATAATCGACGCCGACTACGATCAACCGGTAAAATTTCGTATGAATATAAATTCATAATGGTGTCGCAAGTTGACAACTTTTGGCGGACGCAAATCTACTTTCTAGTTAGAAATAGACTTTTTTCTTTTTAGGACAAATTTCGAATTCAGAAAAAAAAAAAGACGACACGGCCTACAAAATATTGCAAGACAAATGAGTACATTAATGCTGATTACTGGCTGATTGTTGAGGATCTCGCTTTTAGTTCCTAGAATATTAAACTATACGCGTAATTCTATACCCGTAGTGAAACTGGTTAAAAGTAGGGCGGATTTAGAATGCTATAGACGTTTGACGAGCTGTGGACGAGGAACACTAGTAATACTGGCACGTTATGGCATCGATATAACCGTTGTTTTAAGGTACGTAAAGTTCAATCATGTATTATATAGCACATTGAGCAGGGGCTTTTGCCGGATGGGTTATAGGGAGCGGTAAGTCACATTGAGGATGATGACTATGGATATCCGTTCGAACGAAGAGGTGCGCTGATAGTAAACGAAGTAATAGTTCGGAGCTAAGAATGGCACTATAAGTTAAGGTGAGAAGGATATTCCGTAGATGCTGTTTATTGTCATTCCAGCTGACGTATCCGAGAAGCATAGCTATATGAAACAAATAGCCTTAGGGTGCTAGGGGCATAAGTGCGTGTCTTATGGATGGTCAGTACGCTAGTCGGGGATTGACCACGTGCGTTTACAGCGCTTCTTACCCATCGAAATGAGCTACTAAAAATATGGAAGCTCTCTAATATGCATGTTGCTCGCTAATATAGCTGAAACTATAGGAGTGTCTAGTATGCAGCCGCATAAATATGTTATAACCCCTCAATAATTTGCAACTCTCCGGCTATCGAGATTGCGAATACAAATCGATGTAAAAAACATCGGTGCGAGCAATGTTTGCTAGATTTGTCTAAAAATATGATAACGTTAGGACGTCGTCAGGTAAACCACCTTTGCAATGGCGACGGCCAACAATGGACCGGTCCGTTTATAATGACGAAGCGCTCGGAGTCAGTTAGAGGTTTTATTGGCTTGAAGGAATAAATATCACGTCTGCGATCCTGGTTTTTCAAACCATTTAGTTTCTCGCGACTGGTTATCGCAAGGCTGAAGTATAAACCCTTGTGGGGAGTTTTACATTATTGTATCATTGGGTTTTTCGACTACGAGCATAATTGCACATACAATTGAACGCTTCCTTGTGTTGTTAAAGAAAAAAAAAACTATTTCTTCATGTCATCGTAGAGCAAATACCTTCCACCTAAACTACCGCAAATGGTTTTACATCATCTGCGCTTATTACGGCAGGTCGCTAAGGAGCCTAACAGACAGGCCGGCCGGCAGATTCAACTAATAATTTCGCCGACCGCTTTCTCGCATTCGGTAAACTTCGTCGAGCCATACGAGTTCTGCTCACAGGTAACGTAGTGTTCTAAACCAGTGCGATAGTAATAGTTTGTTGTGCAGACGCCCTTACTGCAATGCACGTTACTTGGTTCTTCGTGGAACTGATACAATGCTCTGAAAAATAATAGGCGATTAGCTTTTGTTAGCAAGGACAAGAATCGCAAGTGAGACAGCACGTTTTATCGCTGCAGCAATTCGAATTTGCAGGAGAATCAGGGAGGTCTTAGTGTGCCGTTAAATCTCTGAAGTGCCTTGTAGATGTCCAGCGGGATACTCCTGTACTCAGTTAACGACTAGTACCATAACATCTAACACAATCGTTCTTCAATCTAAAGGAACTTATTTGTAGAGCCTGTTTAACCTATAGTGTTGTTGTATGGCGCAATTTGTTTGCTCTGAAAAAATACCGAATTGCGTTAGAGCTTCTTAGGATTAGCTGAGTCCTACTTTGCAGGTCGACTAAATTGACCTCTCAAAAGGTTTTCAGCTTATGGTCGATACTCTGTTCATAGTGAAAGCTTGTTTTGTCAAATGATTGTTGACGGTATCAATGTCTGGACACAGGATCGATCGTTGTTGCAAAACCTTCCTATGAATGCAACGCGCAGTATGGCCAACAGTTTCTTGCATCTTTGTTAAAATCAATCTGGCGTGTACTATGTAGCTAACATAAAATAAAGTGACATTTTACATACTGCATCTATTCAAAGTCGTGCACATTTATCGTTGCTGTGAATTTTTTCCTATTGAAAATTTGACGTAATTTACCTGTAGTAAAATTCGAGAAGACTATCGTTCTTCGCAAATCGCTCTATAAGGTCCGCGAAGCTATTAGGTGACAGATCCTTAAGCCCATATGCCGCGCGTGTACTGTACATCTTTTGCCAAAACCGATATGACTTATCGTTGCGGTCAAGTTCTTGGACAGCTTTGTCAAGCGCCCTTCTATCGAAGCCCTTAGTTCGAGCAAGGAATTTCTTATTGAGGGCTGTAATGTTTAGCATGTACGTGTCTATATCCTCGAGACCCTGAAAAAAATTACGTGACGAAGTTATACTACCATATCTACCAGAACCCTAAATAACGGATGAAAAAAGTGCGTGCAAATTTCTTATGAGTGAAGAGGGAAGGGAACAGCTTTACCCCGAATTTGTCGAACTTCAAAATCCTGTAGGAAGGGTATCCTGTCATGTAGGTTGTAATCGATGGCGATGATATTTGTACACCCGTAGGAATTGATTGCTTCTTCGGGTCATCTTCGACAGACCAATCGACAGTAAACTGGTCCCAATGCATATGGCCGAAGAATTGGCCGTTTATAATTTGACTGTGTCTGAAGATCACAAGAGACCAAATCCCACCGTGAAATCCTGCGCTTTTTACTATAAAACAGTAACAGTATCCACTATTTGTACACAAATTAAGTCATGATTAAACTGAGAATCACCTCAGTACCCTAATTAAGACATCTACTGAGCCTAACCGGTGACTAAAACCGGGATTAAATTGGCAATGACTACAGAAACTCACTTCGATATAATTTTCTGGTAGGCTGTGGCCCATTCTGAGTGACATTCTTTGGTACCAGGTGGAATATGGCCTATGATGTGAACTTTCTCTTTCATGCGGGCAGCTTCGGCCAGCCCTTCGTCCAACCAGCGCAGTTGACCCTCAGGATCCTAAACAAGATTCGAGTTTACGGATTAGCTGATGCTGCTAGTCAGCGACCGAATAAATATTGATTCATATCGAACAATATTGTACATTTCAATACCAATTAGTTTAAATAAAAAAAAGTTTAAATATTTTAGCGCAAATATAAATAAGCGCAAGAATTACCTTACTTTAAATAAAGTAAGGTAATTTTTGCGCTTATCAAATCGCTCAAATTCTTGCCGCACTGAGCAAGTTTCACTGAGCAACTGATTTCTTATGTTGAGCAGGCCTGATTGGCTATTTTGCTTCTTTTTAAGAGAAGGACACATATAGAATAGGCATTTTTCAACGAGGAGGTTAGATTCTTAATTACTTGAGCACATCAATGTCCTTCAAAGGAAACTTCAAAGCAGTTAGTTGTCCTTGTAAAAATTATTTGGCAATGAAAAATTCCACTGGTAATTTCGGTAGTGATTCAGGTTAGTTTCTTTCGTTTGAATGATTTAAAAAAACGCCAATTCATTAAGAAATTCTATGTGACACCTTACGCATCGATACGACTGTGCACAGGGTACATTTCAGTGGAAAACACAATGCAAATCCATTGACGTTTCAAGAAGCCCCGCGGGCAATATGTGTACAAGTGAAGTAGATGAATTCGAAATTCACGTTCGAAAAATTCGACACTGAAAAAACTCGATTATCGAGCTTTTAATGATCAGTTTGTTCCTCTCATTTCAAGCCATGTTGCTTCATAGCTGATGGTGTGAACGGAGCAACTTCCTGTTGGATCTAACACATACAAAACTTCGGAATGAAGAGCGGTAATGTTGGAAATTGGCTTAACAAGCATCTTACCTCTGGATCGACTGCGAGCCACCAATTTAGTTTGTAGCAGTAGTTAGTGTTCAACGAAAATAGTCGAACTCCTGGACTAATGGAGGCCGTATAGAAGCCACCTCTGAAATAGATGAATAACTTTTTATCCAGGACAACGAATCCTTGATTTTTTGGTTTTCGTTCTAAATCGAAAACATTCGTCAATGAACGTGCGATAAAAATCGGGATTCACTCACTTTAAGAACGTGTCTTTAGCTTCAGTCGGTATCCATTTGTCACCCCAAATTTTCCATAGGGCATAATATAACCGATCAGAGGAGTACTTGCCTGCCACCATACGATCCGTGGGAAATCTGATGTGTAACAAACATTTGCATTGAATATGCATATAAAAATATATTTACCGATTGCAGATGTGGTTGTTAGCAATAATCTAATTAGAACTTCCTATTTCAATTGGTTTCGTCCATGATTTTGGTTGATTTAAGTACCGGAGCGATCCGAAGAACTTTCATAAATGAAAGTTCTATCCAGTATAAAATAAACGGCCGTTTCGATACTCACAGGAAGGAAGGATAATCGTCGTGATTACCAATAGAAACATAAATGTCTTTATTTGGTAGGGCCTCGTTTATAATCCTTGTTTGCTCTGTGATTTCATATATCACTCGACTAAACGAAAAGTTAAAGCTTGTATGTGGGATGAAATCGCCAGTGATGTAAACAAAGTCGAACTGTAATAAAAGTTTTATTTTATGCTTCATATTAGCTTAACTTGAGCACGACTCATCAGTATTTTATATCGTTATTATTAAATGTTATTTATTAGTGGTACATTATTTTGTAATTCTGTATGTAATATAATCTGTAAATTGCTTTGTCCGACATAAAACATACTCAGGGGAAATATTAATCTCTGCGAAGTTTCCTACGAGCCACCGAAGTAATAGTACTACTTCCCGCGTGACATGTTATAAAAAAAATTACCTAGCTACCAAAAAAGCAAAGGTTAACAGTAGTTTTTTCGTGTGTAGAGTAATGACCGTCCAACAGAAATGTGGGGTAAGCTTTCTGCTCGAATCAGTCTGGTTGGTCATTTCCGATCGTTCACTTCGAATGATAAATTAGAACTTAAAAACGACAAAATCTGAACACATACTTTGAGACTGGCAGCACTCTTAAGTGCGCTTCGAAGTGTCCTTACGGGCAGATCGCAGCGTCCGTAGAGACCTGTCTTTCGAGGTTCACCATAAGGACCTGAATCTTCAGCTGACATATTCGTCACCGGAGTCATCTGTCTGTTTGTGCAACAAAGCTCTTCTCTACAACTATAGGCGACTCCAACACGGTACTCAAATGAGACGTGCGGGTCGGCCAGATGAAGAACAGCGAAAGGCGATGCCTCAGGGAAGACATCAATCTACAATGACAATAAAGGATCAGGTCATCTTAGTTAAAAGATTTCTATTAATTAGCTAACGTTGTGTCTCACTTCGAAATAAAAACATTTCCTATAATCTAGCTCAACTGTATTTAAAGGAGGAAAGTTAGTGTTGGTTAATCTGTTATTCCGAGTCGCAATTTGCAAAATATTTGTTTTTGCTTTCCCTTCGTCTAGATAGTACGTATCATACGCTAACAAAGAACCCCGTGCAGCCATCACCTACCTGAGTGTACGCTTCAAATTGATTTGTGAACACGTCGAACTTCCACCTATATAACGAATCGTTATATTGCCCGCACCCGGTTACGAATCTGCAGAACTCTGTGTCCGGAACTTTTAGTTGATACAGAAGGTACCGCATTTCATCCTAAATAAATTACTTTTTATTACTATAAATAAATAAATGTGTGCGGACAATAAAATTTGTTTTAAGGATAAAAGGTCATAAAGGGTGCTGCAGATCTATTATAATACCTATTATTATAAACATACGTATCACATTAGATAATCACAATATATATATATATAATCGACAAAATTTAGGGCAATTTAGGGGTTTGGTACGTCAAAAACACATGATTGCTATTAAAAAGAGCACGTTGCCAAACACCTTCTTTTTACTAACTGTGGTATTTGGCCAAAAGTTGTTGAAAGCACTAGAATGTTATGGAAGACTTATGCGACCTCCACGCAATTAGCTCCGCCGTAAAGCTCTATTTAATGCGACCTATTATCTACATGCCCTTTATGTTCTGCTGTTATCGTATAGCACAGCTCGAAATTTATATCACAAGAGTTTCAAGTTTAAAAAAATATTTTCAATACAAAATATAAAAGAGACCAAGTTCAGTCGACTTGCATATCGTCCGCTATCTCCATTGTTGACTTCCGAGTTCGTTTTTATATGACGTGTTTATCTGTTTCTCTGTTCTCAATTTTGCAAAAACACACACACACACACACACACACACACACACCTTGTACATATCGATCATACTAAGGCAAGTTTCTTCGTTGTAGAAGCTCATTTTTGCTATGCATATCGCCTTCAGCTTGTCGATAACGTGATCATAGCCGTAGTGTCGAAGAGCTCTCATCGCAGCTTCACATTGAGCACAGAGTTCGACGTCGGTGGCATTGTTGCCGAGAATCTGAAAGCGCAGTTATCACTATAAATCTCTTCTTCCTTAAGAAAGTGATGCCTAAACAAGGCAACGCCCATACACGGTATTTCGTGAGCGATTCTATACGTTATTCATTGATTAGCTGTACCTGAAATAGAGCCGTAAGCTAAGAAGAAAACTTTAACTTAGCGCCACTTATATTGATCCTGGCCAATTGCTCAGACTGTCTGGATATTGTTAGAAGGCAACGACACCGAGCTAGATGTTGGTGCGCAAATACTATAACAGAGCATGTTTTATGCTAAATAATGTGACTCTTTTAGCGGTACGCAGAGTTACTGCACTATTTGGCTTGTTCGGTATGGTGTAAAAATGTTGCTATAGAAGAAAAATCCGCAAACTTCCTCCGTTCCCGCAAACAAATATTGTATATTCCAACAACCGGATATCTATAATCGAAATAATCTGTTTTTCATATTGCCGAGTTCTTCCGTCGAAGCGAACCCATAGACTTCGCCATTAGAGCTGTCGACCATGAGCCGTACGATCTATGCGATTTTTCTCAGGCATTGTGCAACAGAATACCGGCTTACGTAGCCTTGAAGGCTCCGCTTCCGGTTCAAAAAACCCAAGTATTCCCTTATAAAAAAAAAGATCGCCTAAGTCCAGGTCGGATACCGCAGGAGGCTGCTGTCCGCAAAACCCAATGCGCAAATGACCTCTGCGCCTTCTTGAAAACTTCAACATGTAGTCAAAATAATTTGAAACGAAAAAAGCTCCAGGAGTGTAGGAGGTAAGCAAAAGAAGTATAGCGCAGGTAGCTTTGTGGACGTAGCGTAATCAACCGTCAATGTGGGTAATTCCTTGAGAAAATCGGCTTTCAAAATCCCGTAAAGTAGGCTTGAAATCATTCGGCGATGAGACCGAACGCTCGTGTTAATAATGGCTGTGAAACTGCGCTTCCGAACAGATAATTCGGGTCGCGAATCAAATAGGATAAGAAGATAGCATCGATATGTGCGTTTTATGCATTATTTGGCTGAATACAGGTTGCAGGCTTCCAGCGTCTATTTCTAGATATCTCATGCCAATGATGCCGCCAAACCCCGAAGCTGAAATTCATTCCGTTATCCAAACACGGTGTATTATCTGTTTTCTTTCGAGGCTTTATTTTGCCCGATCGTTGATTCCGCGACTGTTAAGAGACACTGCTCTGACAGCCATGAAAAGCGCGTGCTCAGCTTCATAGCGAAGCTCTCGTTAGCGTCTGATCTGGATCAAGAGGTTCAATTATCTACAAAAAAAAAAAAACCGGACCCACTTCAGTTTTATGCCGAAACCCGCGAAGAAAACCATGTGAAGGACTATATGCCACAGTTCTCTCCATCAACTTTTGGCTACTCGATATGTTGTATCAGATAGGTATGGGCCCTCGATTCCTGCCCCCTTAAAGACAAAGACGTGTTTGTTGCAATGCTTACAGCTGCCGCCACTGTCGTGCCAATGTTGCTTCACGCGTGAAAGCCCATACCCTTTGCACACAACTATGGTCACCATGCAGAACTGGAAACTAAACATTTTCCATGTGAAAAATTCCTTTGACCGCTAGCGCGAATCGAACCCAGGCCAGCATAAGGTCAACGCGACGGGCAGAGAGCACCAGCCGCTTGGCACATTAGTTGACCTAAAGATACATAAAGTGATCTAAGTTTGAAACCAACGCTGATTTTGTTTTCGGTGTAAAACCTAGGGAGCTATAAATTAGTGGGTCGTGGTCTGTGCGGAACAGGGTCGAAATGTTCGGGTCGAGCCCTACGCTTGTCCTACAGGAGGTACGATCTGCTTTAATGGTGTTAGGTCGTGCACAAAGAGTTATGTGCACCCTCTTAAACAAAGAGGAGTATACACATCCCATGTCCTGTTGAAAAGACCCAGCCGTGTGAAACGAGTGTTTAATGGCAGTAGCGTGTGACACAACAAACATTAGCACGGCCTGACTTACAACGCAGCTTCTATCGAACTTTGGAATCACAACTTATGAATCAACCTTACTTTTGTTTGTTTGGACCAGGCCGCAGAAGTTTGAAGTGCGAAGTGCACGTACGTCAAATACTTGCAGACTGTAGAAGGAGACATCAGATGTAGGTAATATGATGTATTTCATATTACCTATACATATATTTAATAATAATAGTGTGGGTAACGAAGTAGAATACAAACGTTACCCTAATTGCTCACTATAAGATACACAGCTCGAGATAAAGTAAACGATTTGTAAACCTGGATAGTGAATTGATTATAGTCGGTGCTTGTTTTTTAACGAAGCAGTTTCATCGACGATTATTTCAAAAATGGAAACACTCACATTTTCAAAAGCAAAGGCTGTCTTTGCACATATTACGTCGTTACAGTCAGACGTATGGGCCTCGCTTCTCTTAAACGCGCTCCCAACATACAACAAACCACCACTAAAATACAAAAAAAAATATAGAATTAATGCTCTTTGTTTGGCAGAGAAGTCCTGTCGTGATGACTCTGTTCCTTCTAATGAAACGTATTTCATCATAACGATCTATGGTCCCTTAAGTTAGCCTATGGTTCCAAATGCAATTTGCACTCCACTAGGTAACTTACCAACTTGCTATACAAAATAGCGCTACAGACTACCTAGACATTCTAGAATGACTTTGGACTAAAAGGAATAACAATATATATATATATATATAGAGGATGTGCATACTATACATTACCTATAATATTTACACATAATTAGTTCCGTATAGAGTCAACCACTGAAAAGGTTCTCAAGGATTCGTCTAATCTTTGAAAAGGGGTAATCAAGAGCTCTAGATCACAATCATTTCTATGATGTTAGATAGTTATCTATATATATATATCTATATAGATAGTAGATATCTATATAGATACTGTATAGATCTCTATACTTTTTCTATACTAAGCTTTTCAATTGGCAAATTTGCACCCGATAAGATCGAAACGCATTGATTGCTCTCACTTTATCCGTTGATAGTATGAATTAGCAATAATAACAATGGATCAATATTAAGCAGTACTGTTCTGCATCAGCGAGACCAACCGATCTATTACATTGTGCACACGTTTTACCATTGCAATATCATCGTTGATCAACGAAGCATACATAACTACAATACGAAAATCCTATCCCCCTAGGCCTTATACGTATTCGAATGATCTCTTTAATTAGCCAAGAGAGGCTATCACTGCGACGAAGCATTGAGTGAAGGCTAGTTTCGAACTGGTGACCTTAGAACTAAATTAACACGCAAGTAATGCGTTCGATCGCATCCTCGTTCCTATACTCGTCGCACGGAACGCTAGTTTTCAAAGTGACTCACATAATGATGCCCAGAATTACTACAGTGAGCAGTAAAATCATGAAGCCTTTGACCATGAGACCGTGGTTGCCTCCGTCACCGTCCGCGTTTGCTCCTATTATCTTTGAGGTCATCGTTGAGTCGCTTACTCTCGTCGAGACTGTTTTTATTGAGCCACTCTCGGTCAAATGGGAATTCATATTTTGAGTTTACTGAGTTCAGCGCTTTCTGGCCAAGAACGCGTACGGAGTTAACAAGTTATGGCGGTCATACTAAGAGGGACACGCAAAACATCAGAATAATAAAAACAACGCATTAGCGATGCAAAAAGATTCTACATGTCGATGAAAATCATCCACTCCTCAGAAAACTTTTCCACTATAATAGCGTTCAACAACCATTCAGATATTTTCGATATAACAAAGCCACTTTAAGCCCCGTAGCGGGCAAACTGATTCAAATAACATGTCCAGCGCAAGTGAGTACTATATCGTCGACACGCACTTTTTCACGCTAACAATTTCTAGGACGTTCATTTTTTACTAAAACTACTAAATTGCAGACGAAGTAACCAACCAAACTTTCACTTTCAGTTACTGGACAATCTAATTTACTGCGGTACGCGTAAATATTTCGTTGCCTTAGCAGTAGCCGTGACATCTTAGAATTATTCCAACGTGCGAACCACGTAATATTAAGTGTCCAAGGTCTATCATAACGTAAAGAACCTGTTGTTCATAGAATACACTCATGAGCAACAAGTTACATAAGCAAGATTGTTGTTTGATTATGTTCGATATCACCTTTCACTTGTCCTTTAAATAATCAGAAGATGCCTGTGCCTTAAAACGACCACTTAGCATCGATACAACTCACCGTAGGGCTGCTGAAAAACAAATACGCACGTTCATGCCTACACGCTGAAAATACAAAACTCGAATTGAATCTGTGGTCGATCGTCAAATGTGCCAGCGTGTTACTTACAAACGGTCTGTTCTAACTGATTATACCGCACCTTGAAAAGATCTTTCCTTTTTTAGCAAAGGAAAGCCTCGCTGAATTGCAGCTGGGTGGAACTACATACTGCACATAATAAATTCTATTAATAATAAATAATTTCTGTTTAATTCTAATGCGCCGTGTGCGGACGAAGTCCCAAACAAACAATATGAGCTGGACTTTCTCCAGAAAAATGGATTTAGAAGGAAAAAACATTTGTCTTGAAAATCAACATTGAGTAATCGAGTTTTTGTTTCTTAAAGACTGCGGCTTTGCGGAAGTTAATCGAAAGTTAATGAACACATTAGGTAAGAAAGCCTTATGGCAAAACAACTGGTGGAAAAACAAATGGTGCAAGCGTTTCAAGAACCGGGTCAAAGACCAATAAGGAGGTGAACAGGTGTCGAGACCCAGGAAGCATACTGGGATCGAGAAGGCTTTCCAGTGCAGAAAGCTTGAGTTTCAGGGCTTTTTTGGTTAAAACTGGCATTTCATATATAATGTGCGACATATACTATATATACGTATAAATACTGAAAATTCAAAGACTGAGTCAAAATAGGCCAGTTTAAGATTCGTCTGATTAGACAAGGGTTTAATCAACAAGTAACTCACCGAGAGCATATAATAATCACAGACGAGGCATGAACCAGCCGAAGATTGTCCAGGCAACGGAAAAGCGTGCCCTTGAGAGAAACGTGAGCTCGCTGACAGCGTCGTAAAGGTAGTGGTAGTACCTGCAATAGGCATTAAGAGCAAGTCTGCTACTGAAATACTAGCCAAAAATTGAACAATAAATGTAGCCCGTTACGGCGAGTTTTTCAAGAGATTCACGACCTGTTGGCGTTGCAATCGTAATTTGTCACTTGCTGGCAACGCCATGTTGGGGTTGAAAAAAGAATGAGTATTCCTTCTTTTTCCTAATCTAATGGGGAAATATGCCACGCAAATACATATAAGAAGTCAGATACATGGCTGTCCAGGAGCTGTCGAAGGGGTGGGACAAGTGCGCGAAACATTTTAAGGAAAAATACTTCTTACCCAGTGAGAACTGATCATTTTGATCCGAGATATTTTAATTAGAAGAGTCCGCCAAAGTTGTTTGTAATAGTTTCGCACATATTGTAAAGTTCGAATTAGACAAATAGTCCACCATATAACTGCAACTTTATACTTACCTATCTTTGACATAAGCCGTTAATTTAACGTTTGAATATTCATTCGGACATGGTTGCGTGTTGAACACAGAATTGTTGCCAAGAATCAATGATATAAATATATAATCTTTGTTTACAGAAACTGTAGGGCGTGTAATATCAGTACGATTGGTGTGATACCCTTTACTCAGGGATTTCCTTATAGCTCGCGTAGAAGGCACCTCGTGCTTTCTTGGATTCTTACCTCGTAAGAATTCCATTCATTTGAATGAAGTTCGCATTTAGTTGACCGCCTCTAGTCTTCATAACATTTATTCAACGTAGTTACAAATTTTACCTTCTATATCTTCAAGATACCTTCGACTGACTGTTACTGAGCACATTGTTCTCACATCGCAGAGACTATAAGATGCGTACGTCCCATTTAGGACTGACATTCACGAAAGAACTATCTAGCAGAAATGACTTGCAATCAAGTGGCCTGTTCAATAATAAACAGATCCGCAATATCAGGAGTGTGAATCAAGCATCATAAGATCACTGGATTGTTAGCTATTACTAAGCTTGCAGTTAGTTATTGAGTCATATGCGGGCCAATGGTATAAAGGAATTTCTGACCATCGAGGACCATGTATTAAGCTTTTACTCCACAAATCCTGAGAGGTGCGAGGAAGCTATAGATCCTATGGTTAAAGAATCAGTCTTTTTTCAAAAAAAAAAAAACTAATACCGATCGAATCAAGCAGTTTTACTCCAAATTAGTCACACTTGAAAGAAATAAATCATTGAGTGTTATTAGCTGAAATATTTTAAAAATGTGTCTGTCGAGCCGAAAAACCTCATACCATTGCCAAATCAACGACTACAGAAGTCTATCTGTTGCACTGCATGCAGGCATAGCTAGCTGTCTAGAATGTAACCGAGATCAAGCCAGTAAGGACGAATGGGCCGCTATGGAAAAGCAGTGAAAAAGTCTTATGTGAGATCGTATAGTTGCCCGCACCCAACATAAAGAATAGTATTACCATAAATTACTCTGTTTTACGTCCGATATCGCCGTTAGGCATGCTATAAGACGGCTGGCTCCCAGCACGAAACGAAATGTATCTATGCCCGAGTTCGTGACGAGACCACAACGATGTCGTTAAGGTTCGGGCAGATGCGTTACCCACTAAGTTATGATGTCAGTGACATCATAACTATCCTGACCTAAATGCACTATGACAAAGTGAACCACCTGTTTACTTCGACATGTACTGCAGGAGATTCATTCGGAGCATAGACACATTCAGACCAATTATCATGCCACACATAGCCGTTACACTGAATAAAAACGTGCCGCGTCATCGCAGTGTCCGCCGAATAGCTTCGATCGAAGCTAGGACTTAATGCGGCTTTCAAAAAGTCCCGCGGGAAATGATACATAAATTCAAGCTGAGATCCGAACAGACGAAGGCTAAACCAGCTTTTCCTGTGTCGCGTCAGTGAATCACTTTTTACCACGAACGTAAGGTAACGACCATGAGTAAATATTTTCAGATTAAGTTTTCTTTTCAACTATATGGCATTTCAACATACGGCAAAACTATTGATAGTTAAGAGTTTTATGCCGCGCACTTCTATTCGGATTCGGATTAAGTTTTCGATGTACCTGTGAGACGCTACAACTCATTCATTTTTTATTGTATTGTATATTTTGACAAAAAAAAATAAGTACTAATATAAATGACTAAAGACTTGCTTAATACACCTAATATAGTGAAAGCTTGAAAATAGGTACCAAAATCGCGTCATTGACATTTTTTTTTCATATATGGTACAATTGTAATCTGTTAAATTATACACACCAGAGCCAAGTTCAAGATTATCCTATAATCTTGATATATATATATATATATCTATAAAATACGACATGGCGTAAAACTGCACACACGAAGTACAGATAGGCAGGCACTCCGATACTCTTACGTCGACAAACACGTACTGCGAGTGCAGCTCTAGTAACCCGGCTCGAAGCCTATGATTTAGCGCTGCTTTAGTGGAGCAAGCGCGTTCCAGATAATTTCGAAACAAGATACTCGGGAATCGACCGTTTCTTCCTTACCATATTTGCTATTTGATAGCCAACCCTCACTTAGCAATACACTAACAATCAGCTGCTGTTGAGCTCGCTATGGCGTCACTGGTCAAGTAACTGTAGAGGCCGCAGACCCGCTCGAGTAGCGACGGGCTGTTAACGGTGTTTATGGTGTAACAAGAACTGAAACTGTCGCTGCGTGCCTACTCTATCGATTTTCTTTTGCAAGTTTACGTATCTATTCACACGAGATAATTGTAATATACGCTAAAAAACAAAAATGCCTAATCTGACGTGAAGTCTTCTAGACTTCGAGAAGTATGATAATGGTCTTAATGACTCAAAAAATGCCACCACATTCGTAGTTCCTATACTAAGGTGAAGGCCTGTCGCACTTGATTTAAGGACAAGGTTCTCCACACATTTTGTTCACATTCTTCTATTCAAAGTAATATCTACCTGACTCTGCATGGACAAAAATATATTCCGTTTAATTACTAATGTGACTCCTCTTTATATGCAATCACATAATTAACTGCTTTATCCTAGAGTTTCGCGTTTGTCATACAATCGGCACTGTCTGTGTGAGAAACGCGCGCTTAACCGTCTGACAATGCTCTCAACCATAATGGCAGCGGAGTTGAAAACTTTGGAAATCTACAAAATGACCAAGCTTGACCCATCTGTCTTATTTGTAGCAAATGAAGTGATTAGTCTACTTACTCTACCAGGCAAGCGCGGCCAACATCTACACGCCCAACTTACGGCCCTCCGTGATGTAGGATGCTCACATACAAAAATTAAAGCTTACATTTAAAAAACGCGTTATTCAAAACCCGATTCAGCTCCTACTTGCAGGTGCTTCGTAATATAGTTAAAGTGCGTTGAAAATAGAAGGCTGAAGGGAAAAGTCTTTATTTCTATTTGTTATAAAAATCTGAAAAACGCAACATAGATCCTTGACGCTTCATATGTAAAAACCTACTCAACAGGTTAAGGTACAACGTGACCAATTTGTTCATTAGTGCATATGTTAGGACAGACGGTTAGGTACAGCTCTTCATGTAACACAGATCTAAGGTGCAAATATTGCCTTCCATTGACCGTAATAAAAGAGGAAACAGACTGGAATTTACAAAGGCGATCGGCTTCGCGCGGCCCCATTTGGTGTTAGAAATTCATAGTGCCTTAAGGATTACTGCCGGCAGCAATACGATAACTACCATTATGAACCCAAAAACATAACAAAACGCTATTTTATGCATACACTGTAGGTTATTCTGATGCAACGTTTGTTCAAACGTCGTTTCGTCAAGGCAGAGACCCTTGACGGTGACCCCTGCCTTGACGGTGTTAACATAGTTTCAATGGAAGGATGCAAAAATTTTCCGCTCAAAATTACATTATATTTAACCAGGTTGTATTATTTTTTAGAGTTCATAATTCGGCGTTAGATCCTTCCTCTGTCATGTCTAGTTCACCGCCAGTCCAACGTCTATAGGTCTTCGGGACTTCGGAAAAACAGCGACTCTACCGAGCAATAGTTGCTCTTAATGGTGAATATGCGAACCAACCAACGAAACATTTACCTCAATACACTTTCTCACACACTTCTTTGTTGATGGTCAGGTCAGAGGATCGTTCAAGTTTAGGAAAAAAACATCTTCGATTCGTCTACCTCAACATAATTAAATGGAGACCTTTCCTAGCCTGCGATGAACCGCGACAGATATCTTTTGCCGACAACTCAAGCAAAAATGCCTTCATCGCGTCGTTATCTTTTCTACTAATTAATTAATTAATTCTAATTAAAGAAAAAAAAAGCGTTATCTGCCACAACGCAAAACTCGACAGCCAGCATGTCAGCACCATAAAGGTACATTGATAAATAGGGGCGAAAAGGGGTTGATGAGAAAAGAGATTGCATTCGAAATTTTCGACTAGTCTTCCATCACAGGCAGATAGTAAACTAACTGAAGCCTACGATAGTCAGGGTAAGGCTACTTCAGCGAACAACGTTAGAGTAATACGTGTGACCATGGTAAGACCTTATAATGCATGCCAGTTTTGAACAAATAGAAGAGGCATATGGTTAGACATCTTTGTGAGAGCAGAAAACTGTAGAGATCTAACGTATTGACAAAAAAAAAAGGGGTCGAACACAAGTACTACTTTTCGTGATATGGATCTCTACATAACAATTTGATCTCGATTTAGATTTTTCTATTTTATGCCGATTCACGCTGAGGGGCAGGGTCAATCCTACATCAACTGTGATATTTCTCGGTGTTCAAGATTCGTATATCTATCTATCTATCTATCTATTTAATATAATATCGACTGCTAGGTTGGACGTACCGTCTGAATATCTACCAGTTACCAACGAAAGCCCTTATAGACAGTGGATGTCTCAACATAATTTTGAGGTGAAGATTGCCCAAAGTGCGTGTACGAACGCAAAAACCAGCATTGAAACGGATGCTACACGTGTTTGTTAATAACCATCTTGTAAGGTTAGGCAACGTACGTTTCAATGGCAAATTGTCAAAGTCGATCGAAATACGAGAAGGACGTAACTCGGAAGGACCATATGAGAAATGAGGGGATCACACCATTCTTTCAATATGCGTTTTGATTGTTTACTAAGATATCCTCTATGTTACATAGTTTTTGCTCTGCGCTGTTGACAATGTCCTAGAGCGTATTCGGCCAGCTTTCGATTACAGGTTACAGCACACTATAATTATATTTTCACAGTGTATTTCAATTACGTTTGAAGAGTATTTCGCGCGGCACCTTCGCAGCCAACGTTGCTGATACAGGATATCGGCGCGCAGGGGTCGCACCCCCTACATGCCAACGAATAGAACGCATGAGTATTATGTGTAGCATAATACCTATGCGTATTAAGTGACAATTTCGCGGCGATAGTATGTTGTGAATCGTATCTCACACCCACTTCTTTCGCACAGAAATATCGAAATTGTGTGAAGTTCAGCGTGTCGCTGCCCTAACACTTCGCTGAAGCTGGGCTAGCGAGCTTTAGTCGCTAAAAAGGCATGGATTGGGTAGAAATTATTGATAAGACCTTGGGTTGTTTAAAGCAATCTGTTTAATTTTTCAACTGCTACACTAGCTGGTGAAAAGCTTACAGGTAATCGTTACATAGTGCTGGGTTCTATGCCTATCCACCAAATTGCGCTTTATTAGATAGTCAAATAGAAGCAAATGTATAATAATAATAATAATAAGGTTCATGAAGGACATGCTAATGAACTTTACTGTCCGGCAGTCTGTACTGCTTCAATGATATCTACGTGTAATAATTATATCGTATATATTCAAGGTATACACTACCTCTTACTGTGCGTAACACGTTTAACAAGTCCAGCGTGTAACATCTTCCGTCTTCTTATCATTATCACCATTAGGCTTTTCGTTTGCATTTATCTGACAGCATCGTAAATCGCCGAGTTTTTTCCCCCATTGTCAGTGCACCGTCACCACCGGATTGTCTTCACACCGCAGCTCGGGAAGCTTTAATTGTATCGAAGCTAAATTCTAAGGATAAATACGGTGTCCATTAACCCGCTGGTTAGCGGTATAAGCCCCACTGCTTGCACAGCTGACAACCAGAAAAATGATGGGTTAAAGGGACTGTCGTCATAGGTTCAGGAAAATAATTTAGCCAGCCCCTCGTTTTCTGTACGGTCCTCTTTATTTAGACGCTTTTTAAACACTTTCTGGGAATGTTGACTAATGATCAGCAGCTGCACCGAGCGAAAAACGTCGGTCGGATAATGTTCGAGGGCGTACTCCTAGAAAATCCGCAATCATATTCTACATGGGCTTTTCCACGCTAAGGGCTATTTGCCAACTTCCTATTTCCATTCTATTTCTCTCGCTCGCTTTCTGTAACTTCCAACGATCAGGAGTTGTGTCCGTGTGGCGACAGAAAGCTCGTCGGCACAAGGGAGCGGGGTACATTGGGATGTGTTTGCACCCTATGCGGCTGAAACAAGCGCTGCATCGCCTTCCTATTGGTACCCCATTCCACTTTCGGCGGCCTTCAACCTATGTAAACGATCAACTGCCTCATTTATGTAGATACGCAGAAAAAAGCTACAGTGTAAAGCTAAACGGTACAAAGAAGGTCGAAACTACATCTATGACATAATATCGTGTTCGACAATATTTAATAATGCGATAAAATCGCACTGATATTTATAGAAGTTATGGATGACTTTCTACGTTTGATCTGACTGGTTATGTTTGTTATTTCTAGTGAATGCTAAACATGGGTATCCTAAGTTATGAGTGGATTAGGACGTTCATAGTGGGTTTTCGCTGGGTTATAATGTGAAGCCATGGTGACACAATGGTCTTGAGATTTATTTCCAAGAACTGCAAAAATTGCTTCAATTTTTTAACATACGTTGCCTTTATCTCAGGTATGTCCTTCGCGTGTTTATGTTTTACTATTACTACAAACCTCACATTTAGCTTTCTATATTTTGCTTACTGAAATCAAACAGCAGCACCTTATTTACATCGTTGTCTGTGTATTTTGCTAACAAGCAGAACATGTTAAGAATTCTAAATTTCTCAAAATTTTGGGTCTGTTTTCGCTCAGGCCCAGGATCGTAGTTAAACCGGTGGCCTATGTTGCACCATAGTGGAGTTCAGTTATTAGCTCTCTTCCCCCCCCCCCCCTCCCTAAGGTTCTTTTAGTTAGTACCATATGCAGTTCTGCTGGGAGGGATCGAACTGCCACATCAACAATGTAGATCCTTGTTACAAATTACAATTAGGTCCAAAGACGCGTCATACTGGAAACGCGAGAGCGAGAAAAAAGCAAGCGTTTTTATGTATCCGTTTTTGATACTAGCGCAGTTATGCTATGCCCAGTTGTCTAGTTCGTTTATTTGTTATCTTCTTTATTTTACCAAAATAAACAAATATGGTATTTCTACGCGCACCAAAGCTTGAGTGCTAACACTCGTGCCAACTGAGGTGCGACGGTTTCCACAACAGCTCTTAATCCGTCGTTAATTACCTACCTTCACAGGGGGTCTTCTAGAAACCCATGAATTCGTCATAATTTCATTACTGGAAGTTTTTCCAGCAATGGCTAACGACCAAACCACATACAAGATTTATATGGCTAGCCGTTTAAGCGTCCAACTAGGTAAGGTATTTTTCATTAGCATAAATTTGCCCACATTGCAATGTTTGCTGTCTGTATTTAGTATATATCTACGTTTTCCACAACGGTATAGGAATACAACAGAGCACTTGTTATTATTTGCAGCCAATTTCATTTATTATTAACAGACAAGTTAGTAAACTATCAAGTATATTACCGAAATACATATGTCCTTGGCTGCTAGAGTAGTGCTAAGCCAGCATGTTATAATACCGTCTTAACAATACCCTGTAGCATCTTCTTGTTAGAAACTTGTCAGCTTATTAGAAGCATTGCTACAAACAGTTCACACCTACATCGACAACATGTGTTCGCGTATCGAAAAAGGCCGACCGACCGGCCTTTTCCGATTTACCTCACAGACCTTCACCTGCTAGGTATACCTGCTAGTTCCGTTTTTCTTCTTCAAAAAACCCTCCCATGTCTCTAATTCCGCGTACCCGAGCTGAGTATACGTATTTATCCAGTGTTATAATTCAGCTGTTATACATTCAATGAGTAGCCGGGTCGTACAGTGTATGTTCCAATACTACCTAAATGAAACAATTTTTCTTGATAATCTACGCAATCTCATAATAACATGAGCGAACTTGTACTAGTTTGTTTCCCCTAAATACGTATCAAGACAGTAAAACGGTGCTGCGTGTTTGCAAGCAGTAAAGGAAATGTCCAAACATGATATTTTTCAAATGTAGATACACATCGCTTGAGGTCGCCATAATCCTTAGTCCTTAGCACGAGCCATTAAAGCGAGGTAAACTAACGGCTCAGCCTAGGGTTTGAAAAAGTCTTAAGCTTAATTCCGTATTTTTAGACGGATATTGCTTGTAAGAGTTGCTGTCAGCTGTTTTTCTGCTTTCCTATCTTTTTGTCAAGGAGCATTGGGCAAAAGATATTAGGCCACTAGATAAACATTTAACCTAGTAAAGCCTTCTCTGTCTGGCATCACTATATGTGTGTATTAGAGGATCCTTCAAGTGTATGCACATTTTATTTTCAAGGCTAACAAACGAACTTAGCTGCTTAAGAGTAGTTAGGTCATTTCTGAATAAACACCTGATTATCATAATATATATTATCCTTATGACAGTCTGATCACAAATTAATGCCTCTGGCTTTCTCTTAACCTATTCTATTAAGTGACTTATCCCTACGCATGCAATGACTGTAGGCAGGAGTTCCCTGATCAGCATGTACATCATTTTTTCTATTTGTAACTATACAATTTAAAGCAACAATCTTATAATAACGACATATATTTTTCAACGCACTATATTAGTTTGGCAAATATTCCTATCAAACAAGCCCAAACAAAAAAAAAAAAAGGTATCAAACAAAAACTACTTACTGACTTATCCAACCAGTGGATACGAAAACGAGTTACGAGTTAACGACTGTCTTTATTAGACATGGAAGATCAGACTATATTATACCCTTGAGGCAATTTTGACGAAGTGCTGAGGCAACCCTGACTGATCTTTGCAACCTAGATAGCTCTTCTAAGAGCTCTTTTGACCGGTATGGTATGCTGGCATATGATAATCCCCCATGATTAAGGCAAATTGGTGATTAACAAGTCTTGAACCCATCAACTTTTGTTCCCAAACAGTTCTTTTTGTTGTCGCATTCCTCTTAGCTAAGATATTAGGCCGTTGCAAGCGTTCAGAAGAAAAAAAAAACATCTTTTATCTCGAAAATTACCGCGCACTGGCGAATTTTTCTCGAAAGCTACAGAGTTATAGAACTTCGTCGAACACTAATGAGAACAAGGTAGATCTTTCACGAAAGTAAGATATGTGAATGGTGTGAATGTTTCAAGAAGGGAGTTCTGAAGATATGCGAAAAGGTAAATCGAATGTCGGAACCCGATCGAGGAGGTTTCCGACAAAAGCGTAACTTGGAAGTCTAAGGGGTCTGCCGGCCAAAACTAGCGTCCCACATGTAAGCATCTACAGAATCCTAAACCAAATACTAGAAGTGCGGAAGGTGAATAAACATTGACTCCCCCGTAAACTGGCTCCAAATCAGTTGGAAATGCATGCAATTACAGAAATATAATTTTAATACTATAGATGCATCTTCCTGACCTTAACTTGATCGGAAACAATCGAGCAGCTGCGTTGCTTACACTTAGCTGAATACGTAGAATCTGAACTTTTCATCCTTAGCTGAGATAGGAGTTTGCCAGGTTTGAGTTAATAACAAATAGATCACTTACCAGCAGGCAAGAGTGGGTTAAAAATATACTGCTTGCACCTGGTACTGTAGAGCGTTTCCTATTCTTGTAACTGGCAGTTGATAGAAATTGTAACCAACTAACTGATAGAGAACTTTTTTTTACTATTACGACCACTGTTATTTGCAGTAGTAGCAGCAGACTACAGTCACACACCGTTGTCTACACAGGATTCAATGCGCGCTTAAGTGTTCACAATATAATCTATATTTGTTCAAAAGTCGTCAAATGGTCTCGCTCGTAGTAAATCACCGAAACAAGGTCTCACTGATCAGAAACCGGCCGTGAATACGGGTGTACAACAGTGCATTTTCGACGGGTTGAAACTGATGTTTTCGACTGACGTTATTACCCGAAATCGTACGTTTTTGAATTGAGTCAGCAACAAAAACGAAGAATTACCTATTTGATTCTATCTTTGGCCAATACGTATGGCCAAGATAGAGTATTAGGTGCTGCATCAGAAGCCATGCGAAGGCCCACACTTAGCCTTGCACATCAGTGTAAACGCTGGAAATTCTTAGAATCAGCATCGTTACTTAGATAAGTGATATTGAATTGAGTGTGAACGCTCTAATATTGTGTGCTACCACAAATCACCGCCAATACAATACAACTATACAAAAAAACTACAGTCAGTGCTTAGTCCAATAAACCTTGTTAAATTCAATAAAATAATTTCAGCTGTTAAAAATCAATTGCGAGGTATTTTTGATGAAAGAACAGACAAACGTTTTTTACAGCTGACAAACAATGTGATACAGTTGCAAGTATCAATATGTTATAACATCGCCGCCTGTAGCGGCCTATACCTGCTGCAACGCTTTAGGGCAGGTTTATGATGCCGTTTTCGATGTTTCAGCGATGACTGGGTTCCGTCGCCACGTAACAATAAATAATTTTTTTTTCATAGAGGTCTGAAACGTTTGCTATTTCTAGTTGTTTTTGAATCTGATTCTTCAGACGTTCCCTATGTGACTAAGATATGCCGAATTAGCAGGCCACGGAAGCACTTGAACGTTATTGGCAGTGAGTAGCTCAGGAATACTTCGTAACTTCTGATGGATGTTTGATTTTCGGCACGACGCGATTATAAGACGATCATTCGCCGACGCGTCCGAAAGCGTCATGGAGGTTTTTCCGTGAATTTCAAAATGAGATTCTTCTGAAAAACACGTTTATCCAGTTCTCATAGGTCGATTTGGTTTGCTCAGTGAAAATAGGCTCAGTCGAGCATTCAATCAAGGTTCCTCAGCAGGTCTATTGCCCCTGTACCCGGCCTTTTTTAGTCGGCAACGAACCATAATTTTCGACTTTTTGAATTGCGATTTTTTTTTGGATTCACGGTTTTTTAATTTACTCGGAAGAATATTATATAAAATAAACTTATCTTTTTGGAGTCCGTAAAAAAGCAGGCGGTCGTCCCTCTTCGTAACACACCTTTTTTATTCTTCATACCGATTTTACACTACGAAAGCGAGAGGCTTTCTATAAGTTTTCTAACAAAGTTGGCAACCGTATGCAAGGAAACATGAAACACTTGAGTGATTTCGTTTGTTTTAACGAAGTCGTCTGCTACACCCTTTACCATTTCGGCACTTTATGTATAGGAGCACGTCGAATTGCGGTAAAACACTCATACTGGTCAAGCTCACTTAATTATTTAACGCCGCATTGCATAGTACAGGACAAGAAGGATAGTACGAAACATCAATTCAGTTACAATAGGTCCTTACGCACGTTTGTCAGCTCTTGGAAAATCAATAGTGCGCCATTGTCTTTATCTAGACTTGGGGTAACAGCGTAAAATAGACTAATGACGCTTCTATAAGCCACTCACTCACAGATATTTATTTTTGAAGCCCCAAAAGTTGACAGCGCAACTTGTCAACATGAAGTCAGCGCAAATATAACATATGAACAGAATCGCGAACCGAGATTTGCTACTTCACTATATATATATATATATATATATAACAACTATTCCACTCAACTGACTAACTCTGGAACCGCTGCTCAGCCGGCCATCACCACTAGCTCACAGGACACCGCGGCCGTTGATATATTTTTTGCCTCGACGAATCAATAAACACACATTACGAACATCGGTACTCATCGACATAAATTCTACTTTATGGTAGGTAAAACTCTATATAAACTTATGCATTTAGAGGGCAAATTAACAGTAAAAGGTGCTGTTCAATAATGCCCTATCCTGAATTAAATCTGGGAAGACGAGCAAGATCTAACGGTAATTTTTTGAGAATTTACAAGCGTAGTACTTAATCGAGTATATTGTACTTATAGAACCGTTATCGCTGATTAGTATTAGTTTACACGTAATTGAACGAGGGAATTGTTCAACAAAGAACAGAAGTTGTTCTCGTCTAATTTGCCAATACTGTAATGTAAAACAATCATCTGTGTCGTACTAGCAGCGGTAAGCCAAAGGCGGTAATAATTCCCTGTAGGTGTAAATATGTGTTAGTTATGTGTCCTAGCACCTAATAGATGATCTTAATAACTTTTTAAAAAAAGTGTAGACTTTTTCAAAAATAGTCTGCCGGCAGCGTTCATACTGTCTATAAACGTAAACGTCTGCCACTCCCATCAAGCACGTCAGTGGTCACTCTTGATGTCCCTAACCCCCCCCCCCCCCCTATCCTGACATACATCTATAAGTTATGCTGCAACAAGGCTACCAGGGTCCGCCGAAAGAGAGACGACTCTTTAGAAACATAGGAAGATGTTTCTTTGTATATATAATGCTCTTTGTGTATACAGTCAAAAGTCAATACATTTACTTGCAGATTTGTATATAGATAGAGATGCAGCGATATCAATACTGAGTGCTACCCCCTGTACCTAGCTTGCTTATGGCAACTCATATAAGGACAAACGAAACCAGACTGTCCCGAATATACTCACTACCTATTGCCATACGCCCACAAAATCGCAGGTTAAAGATACATCAACTTAAATGTATCCTGCATCTCCGAAACAGAAATTTATATTTACTTCGTCTCTACATAAGAGGACAGATCTGTGGAATAAATGCTTAGTTAATATTAGTAACGATGCCACGATGCGGTACTATATATTGTGTATGTATACTAAAAAGCGAAGATTACTTTTAAAGGGTGTGCGCAAGGGTTTTAGATGCGTGGTTCGAACAAATGTGTAATATCTTTGCAATGTAACTGCAATTTGGAGCTTTGCAATGTAACTGATTTCTGTATAACACAGACTGAGCTATGATGAGGGTCCTAATTTGACGCGAACAACAAAACAAGTCTCATGCAGAAGAACACGGTCTCAGGTCAGCATCGTGATTTGAAGCTACAAGGCGATAGCTCGGTTCTCCCAAACATATTAAGGAGTTTCTAGGGGCATTTCTCGCTTATTTATCGATTGTTTGAATCGATAAGCCTGAGTCGAATATGCCACAGGACTTACAGCCTATACAATGAATATATTATTGGATTTTTTTAATTCGTAAACTTCGCCAGACTCTTTATTGTAGTTGACTGTTTGCATATTCTGCACGTAGTTCCTATGCGCCTGTGTTTATAGTCGATTGCCTATAAACACTGGTTCATATTCACGTTTACGATCAAACCATGAGGAGACCTAAAAGGTATAAGAGGCAGACTGTAATAAAAATTAAATATACTGCATCATGCCAAGTGTCTAAGGACATGCGCTATCTACACATTGGTGAAAGATAAGTACTTGTTATTGATTATATTGTCTAACTGCCTTATAATTTAAGGAAATCATTCGCTAGTTTTTATGTTAAGAACTCAATTTCTATCAGCTGGCATCAATCACACGCCGTATTAACTCATTTATTTTCGCATCCTGTGACAAACCTCATCGAAGCACTCTGTGCTTTACATATTTGTAAAATTAATTTATCGTGTTCAAGAATATCATATCCTGGTCTACTTTAACTATGACCATATTTTATTTCAAAACCAGGGATAGATACAACTATGTTTCAAATCTGGGTCGAGACATACTTTAATCCCTCAGTAAAAATCCAAACGACAAGAGAAGCTAGAGAGATAGAAATCCGTTTCTCCGCTTTACCCGTCCGAATCGTTCGACTGTTACCTTCTACTACGACAGATCCTTTTTAGCAACGCTAAAACAGAATCCGCTGAAGAAGAGACAACTAAAAATAAGCTTTGGAAAGGATCTTCTCTGTAATAAAATACTCCACATACACATTAATGAAGACATACTACAGGTTTATATATGAATGGAAATAAAGCTATATCTTCGACTGATAATTTGGCTATTTATGAAGCGTAGCACTTAACCTCTCGTAATGCACGGCCACGTTTTCTAGCCCAGAAACGAAACACAAACATTTGTTGTAGCCTTCGTAAGGACTTGCACGCTCGAATACAGCAAGCGGCTAGAAGGTATGAAAGGCGTCCGCCTTTGTAATTGAAATTTTAAGCTATAATAGTTGCCATTATATCGTAAGCCCCCCCCCCCCCCACAGTGTCACCTATATGACTGGGACAAGGTATCTTATAATGCCCGAAGCAAGCCATACAATGTTCGACTACTTTTCTATATCCCTAAAGTTTATCAAATACAAAGGGGTGCTGCGATATGGCGAGCGGTGTTAAGTTGGCCACGTTACTGGTTGGTGGTCTCGTCAATGAAAAACATTTATTAGCCCGAATGGATAACACTGTATATTTTAAAGCCAACATAAAATGCACACTTATAAATTGATGAATAGATAGAATAACAAAATAAAAAACATTACTCAATATGCCCCATATCACCACTGAAAATCAATGCTAAATGATACTAGCTTTAAAAGATAACATAAGCATTTCTGGACAGCAATCTCTCTTTTCAAATTGCTAAATACATATACATACGTATAGCCATCTTAAATCCACACCATTTGTACAGTGAATGATACAGTCTGATGAAAAGACGCCAAATTTCAGACTATACCGCGCTGTGATCGTACTCCATGAGAGAAACGCATAAATAAACGTACTCTATATTGGATTTGTAAGACAGAGTAACTATCGCCGACTGAGATATTTTACATGATAATGTAATTTTTTACATTTTACTGACATCTTTTTAAGCGTTTTTCGCAAGCAAGCAATTCTCCTGTGTATTATCCAAAATTGTAAGACGTAACCCGAAGTG